AAGAATCTCCACAAGGAGTGTCCAGCCAGGTCTTTGGCGTGGCTCTCTGGGGCCTGGCCCCCAGGACTGGCTGCCGGAGTTATGAAGAAGGAGGCCCATCTGTTCACCTGCCGTCTGCGTGCCCCTCTGTCCGGGCTCCCTTGGCCCCCCCCCCCCGCCCGTCACCCACAGTCCCCACTGGCACTTGTGTTGTCACCTCACGGAGGACACAAGGCAGGAGGGCAGTGGCTGGCCCAGGCCCCGTGGCCGCGCTGGGTCCCCGGCCACTGCCCGGTTCCCTGTGACCCAGAGCCTCCACCTCTCCACAGGGGGCCCGGTCAGGCCCCCAAACCTCTCTACTCAGGAAACGTGACCCTCCCTGGACACTCTCACCTACCCCTCTGGGCCAGAACTGATTCACTCGGTCACCTGACTGCGAGGACAGCTGGAGGACCTTTTAGGAAGGGGCAGAAAAGAACAGAGACAGGCCCCCCGGCCCTCGTGGGCTGCGTGACCCCCCCAAGGACGCCCGGCTGGAGAGCGGAGAGCGGCCCATCTCCCACACGCTCTCTCCAACAGCAGCAGGGGAGAGCCCCACCTGGAGCCTCAACGGGCCACTCACCCCCTCGCCCTGCAGACCCCCAGCCTCCCTCCACCAGGCTGGGAAGAAGGATGCCCACCTCGCTACCGCACACGCTCCTGCAGGGAGGCCACGGGGACTAAGCACACAGGCGCATGCACACTCACTTGCACGCGGCATTGTACACCCATATGCACACTCACACGCATACTCGCACACACATACACACAGCGTGTGTGCACGCGCACGCACACTCACACAGGTAGGCTGCCTGCCCCCAGCGACGCTGACAGCTTGCTCAGGAGTGGTCCGCCAGCCCCACCCCAGGCCCCAGGCCCATCGTGTCACCCTTGGCGATGGGCAACCCACCCAAAGCATATACTTTCTTCACCTCAGGCATCTGGCTGCCCCGGTATCCCTGGAAGTCGGTGGGGGGGGGGGGGGGTACGGGGGGGGGCGGGAGGCAGGAGCCGAGGCAGGGAAAACCCCAAGTGGAACCCACAGCGTTTATAAAACCGGTCCCTGAACGGGATCCTCCTCGCAGGTGCAGTTCCCAGAGCTCGTGGCCCCAGCAGAGCCCCGCCCCTGCCACACGCTGGGCCTGCAGGACAGGAAGTGAAGTGGGACAAAGGAGGGGGGTCTCACGGTCACTGCTCCCGACCCCGGTAGCAGGTAGGGGGTCAGCTGACAAGCAGAGCCCCCGAGAGCCGCCCCGAGGTGCTGCCGACAGGTCAGGAAGGCTACTGTCCAGCCCCCAGGCCTCGGCTCCCTCGCCCCCACCGGAAGTGCCCGCCCCCACTTTTTCAAGAGGCCCCTCCAGACCTCCAGGATCCACCTCCACACCCCTCCACCCGGGAAGTCTCTGAGGCCCCCAGAGCCCCCACTCACTCCCCACCTGCCCTCTCCGCTGGGCCGAATCCACGCAGCGGTGGGGGACAGAGGGCATCTGCCGCTCCCGGCACACCAGCCTGGACACACAGGTGCGTGCTTTGACTCTGAGAAGCCGGAGGAGGAGGGAAAAGAAACGTCACCCCCGGAGGGGAAGTCCGTGGTTGGGGCTCGCCCCACAGGCCTTCCCTTCCCCGGGGAGGGCCAGCCCCGAGCTCCCTGGGCGCCCCCGCCCCGTCCGCCTTCCCGTGTCTGACACATGGTGACAGAGGGGTCCTGGTGCCTCCCGGTCCTAACCTGACGGTCCCACGCCCCTCCCATCCTCAGCAACTCGTGCCTTCCTTTGTCAAGGTCCAGGGCGGGGCCACCATGGCGCAGCAAGACTCCAGTGGCCCTGGGCAGTGTGACCCATCACCGCTGCCCTCCCGATGGACGCAATTCTCTCCCACCCCCTCCACCCCCTTCCTGAGGATATTTTTGGGGCAAAATTATAGATACAGAACTGAAAGGAACGAAGATAAATAGCAAATGGTAAAAGAGGCTCTCTCTAAGTAACAGGACTTGTGTTTAATCCATAATCTCAAATTTTTCCAGTTTGAAGAATAAAACACCCTCACCTCCTCTGCCCTGAGGAACCCCCAAAGGGATCGCACCGCAGACGGTGCGATTCTCACTTCAGCCAGCAGGTGGCGGGCCAAGACCACATGGACCGTCACAACCCTTCGTGGACAGAGCCTGGGCTGGAACGCTCGTTTCTGGACTCACTTTGATTTCGTTCCACAAATTCCCAGGGATCACCTGGCTTTGTTTGCAGCACCCAGATGGTCGTGCAAAGATGGGGACTCCAGCCCCGCGGCAAACCTGGATGAGGTGGATTTGAGCCCCATCTGCCGCAGCACTTTCTGGGGCCCCAGGCTCCTAGCCCACCATCTGCGGCCATCTGGAGGGGTGAGCCTCCAGCAGTGACGTTGGAAAGCAGAGACTAGGGCTCCCCTGGATTCCCGCTCTCCAGTGGGGGGGGGCCTTGGGGTCCTCCTGGGGTCCCACGGGGGCTGCCATAGACAGAGGCCACAAGTTTTCCCCACACTCTTACCCTCAACTCCCCACCTCTGCAGACCCCCACCCTCCAGCCCCATCCCTGGATCTGCTCCTGGAGCTCCACTCCTGACTCCTGCCCAGCCCGGCCAACAGATACCCCACCCTCTGCCTCGGAGGCCACAGCAGCAGCAGACTCAGAGGGGCCTGTGTTACACCAGCCAGGCCAAGAGCAGGAGGAACACCAGGACCAGGGCTGCGGCCAGGGTCACAGAGGGCACCAGGTCCGAGTCCTCGGGACCGAGGATGGCATCTCCAAGGGCGTGGTGGAGGGCGGCAGGGGCACCAGACAGCTGGGTGTCAGCGACCTTCTCTCCGGGGGGCCCTGGCCGGCCCATCTGTGGGAAGGGGGACCTGAGGGACAGGGATTCCTCTGGGAAGCGTCCCACTCTCTGCCTGGCCGTCCCATCCGTCTCCTCTGGGAGGCCCTCCAGACATAGCAGGTGACCAGAGGTCCCCGAGGTGACCCTGGGCAGTGACTCCCTGAGCCTCAGTTTTCTCCGCTGTAAAACCGGGATGCCAAAGGCCACCAGGGAGGACAGGGACCAGATGAGACAGTAGCGCCTGGGCTATGGGCATCTCCTCCCCGCCCCCCAACCCCTTACCTTCTCTCTTGAGACGACTGGGGCTGGAAAGTCAGGTTCGGCACCACAGCCCCCGAGACCTTTGCCCTTGTGCCAGGGGATCTGGAATGCGGCTCTGCTGGTTTCTTGGGTACTTAGAAGCCTAGGACTCATCTGGGGGGAACTTTGTCAAACTGCAGGAGAAGCCCCATCAAGGCCTGCCAGCTGCCCTCTGCCCACACAGTGGCTGGGGCGGTGGGCACCAGATTACATCCGTTTTACAATTGAGAAAACCCAGGTTCAGAGAAGGAAGCACCTCCCTGGAGCAGGGTTCCCGAGAAGTACCAGAGGTTGGCAGAGGCGGTCACAGCATCCTGGGTCCTCTTGGACCTCAGGCTCCTCGTCTGCACAGGGGCAGACTGTGCATGAACTCGTTTGCTAAGCTCCAGCACCGAGGATCGGCAGGGATGGAGACAGCCCAGGAGTCGGAGGTGGTCTCCACCCAGCCCCTCCCCACCCCAGGCAGCCCTGCAGGACGTTTACCTTCTGGCCAGGGCGGGAGGCGGCTCCCACGACCGGGACCGGCCACCACGTTCCCCAGTGCAGGCAGCGACCAGTGGCAGCTTGATTGGATCAAGTAGGGAACCTTCTTCTAAAGAACCCACCCTCCTTGGGGCCTCCCTCGGGGAGGGATTGGAGATGGGGGGGCGGGGAAATGAGGGACCGGCCCCCGCTGTGGGTGTGTCCGGGTCAGAGAGGGGAAGCAGAATGGGTGCTCCCACCCCCAGACAAGTGCTCTCTGCTTCTTCTGAGCGGACAACTCCCTGAGGGGGCTGGAAGGGGCTCAGGAAATTGAGCAGGGACCTCTTGGCACCCCTATGTGCCTGCGCCGTGCCAGGCATGGGAAGGGGGGCGGGGGGGGAGGAGGAGAGCCCCACCCCGTCCCAGAGGCCAGGTCCCCAAGCAGCCCATCTAGGGCAGGCCCAGGTGACAAGAGAGAAGGCCCAAGTGACCCAGTGAGGGAGATGGTAGTTAAAAGAGGTCCAAGGACCAGAGAAACATCCTTGGTGGAGGAAATCATCCTTTAAAGACAAAGATGGTCATTGAATCACTAATTTTAAAAGCGAACATGTTTGAAATAGCCTTAATGCCCATGACAGAAGATTCCTGAACAAACCCAGGTTATGTCTCAATTGTTAAAATACGGTTACAAGGCTTGTGCAACACCAGTGATGAGAGTCACCATTTATTGGGTGCTGGATCCAAAGCCTATGTCCTTTACGGCAATAAAAGGCTTAAAATACGTAAAGTGGCCACACGGTTGTATAGCCACACAACGAAAATAATGGGAAAATATGAAGATTAGACGCAGGTGGGGAAAGACCCGGAAATGCCAGCAGGGTGATGGATGGGGCTTTCCGGAGCCTGTTTTTCCTGTGGGTCTACTAGTTGGATTTCCATAGTAAAAGGGAATTATACCTTTTTTT